TTGCTATGTCTGTCTCATGGTCTGGCGGCCCTTTTGATCCATGTCGCCTTGCATATAGAATGCTATACAAACAAGAGCTAAACAATACGTTACTCACAATGAAACCGCACCCAGAATAATTAAAACGCGATCACAACTTAGTCTAGATACAACATTGGCCAGGACATCCCGGCCAATGCGCGCATTGGCCGGCCAATGTACAAAATACGCTGTCAAGTTTAAGTACTTCGGACTTTGGCCAGTACGTCCCGGCCAGTGCGCGCATTGGCCGGCCAATGTACGAAATACAATCTTAGTTCTAAGTTCTTCGGGCTTTGGCCAAGAGAGCCGGCCAATCCGCGCATTGGCCGGCCAATCCGGGGTTTGGCCGCACTTCGGGCTTTGACCGTAACATATATATATATATATATATATATATATATATATATATATATATATATGTCAGTGTGTTAATGTGTTCGTGTACATGTATGTGCATAGTTGTGTACAAGTGTATATGCATCAATAGTAGTATACGTGTATTGAAACTTACAAACGGGCCGATGCGGTGAAGTTGTACCATTTCATTCTGATTCTGCCGCTTGTTATGCTTAAAGCCATCAAAGAAGCCCGTTTTCGAGTGTGATGTTCGGATTCATCAAATAAAAACAACGGTTGCTAAACAGTTGTGGATGTAAAAAAAAGATCAATATATTAATTACAAAATCATACATTGATAACCATATATCAGAGATATTAATGTCTGTGCATGAGTTTTTTTTTTTTCTGTGTCTATGTCTTTGTCCAAATCATTGGGTATTAGGTTAGGTCTAGGTTAAATTACATGTGGTTTTCTTTCCCTATTAAAATGGTTTTGTTACAAACCATGATTGCATATGCTGTTACATTGTATTTTTTCGTTATTTTTTTAATACATGGTATTATCAAACGTCTTTTTAATATTACTTTGTCTGTGAGAGTGCTCTAGAATGTATGTGTTTATTGTGTGTGTAGTGTGTCAGTAGTGTGTAGTGCGTGTGGACTTGTCAAGTTTAGTGTGTCGTAGTGCGTGTACCGTGCGTAGTGTGTATGTGTAATTGATCTGCAGTAGGCCTGTTTGTGCAGGTACTGTATGTGTTGCGTTTGTAGTTTTGTATAGGTTTTGTTCAGCTTGAGGGACGGAGTGGTCTAGCGGTAGAGAGCTGGACTGCTAACCCGTAAGTCTCGAGTTCGAATCCGGGTTCATGTCAGTTTAACGTCCACCCAACTCTGATGGGTACCTAACTCACGTTAGGGAGAGTATAGGCGGCTGTACATAGTGCTGACCACACTATCTCTTCATATGCCGAGGTCACAGAAACAAGTGAACTCTACTTAACTTGCCCCATAGACCGCAAGGTTTGAAAGGGAAACTTTTTTTTTTGTTCAGCTTGGGTGCATTATGTATGTTGTAGTGTGTACAGTGAGTGTGTAATGTATGTGTTGTGTGAGTAGTAAATGCTTTATTGGTTTGTAGTTTGTTATGTTTATTGTTTGTAAACGTGTCCTTATTGATGTTTATGATTGTTAATCAACTAACCGATAATTCTTCTATATTAGTCTTTACTGGTCGTACATCAGCAGTGTAATGCCAGTGCCGAGTTGTTCCATTGGGGTAGTGACGTATTGTCCTGTGGTACTTTCCGGCGTAGATTTCGATTAGGTCTGCCAACTTCTGACTATCATTCCCTTTGGCCACTGTAACAGAAGGCTAATCAAAATATTCGATAAAAGGCTTACAAATTATAAAAATACTAAAATCTTATCTGATACGTATTCTCACAATTCTGCACGAACTCATCCATTAGATTTCTTCAAACAATTGAGGTTTTTACATTCACGATTGTTGGTTCTCGGTTGCCCTTAAAATGTTTCACTCACAACTTTTGATCCCTAGTACAGCATATAGTGAAGTTAGTGCTAATCCCACAAACTGCTGAATAGGTGTAAGAATGTCCAGATAGGGGCCTACGACAAATTCCCCAAAAACACTTGCTCAAATGCCGTTTTCCTGAATGGACACTTTCCCGATTGCGACTAACGCCTGATTGGACACTTTCCCAAATGCGACAAACGCCCGTCACCTTTCTGATAGATTCGTCTACTTACAATTAAAATTTAAATAAATAAATATTACTGTGATAAGTGCAGCTATTGTGGGTAAAACGCTTTACAATAAAAGCTGGAAGTTGAGGCTCAAAATCGACAATGTGGGACGCTAAGATTCGCACAACGCCAAGAAATACATCAAATAGTCTTCAGAACAATAGATTCTTCCTTTAACGTCTTATAATTACGCAAGCACAATTCAACGACTCAAACAGAGTTAAAATTGATCTATAGATATTTCCAAAATATCTTAAAAGTTCTTAACCTTTTTGGAGGTACTGTACCCCACCAATTTAATATGCGCATTCATCGAACCCTTGTAATAGTTCTGTTGTCCGCACTGAACAAATCTGATCGTGAATCTTATGACTTACTGAACCCCTGGGGTTCAGTCGAACCCAGGTTAAGAGCCACTGCTCTACGGAATTCCAACAAACTCCGAAGATAGTTTAAAACACCTCTGGCGAGAATTTATAAAACATCCGCATAGTTTTGGAAACTTCTGAGCTAAAAAACTTTCATAAATAGTTTAAAACCTTCTATCACAAGAGATGGGAAGAGCAATGGCTAATGAAAAATGTTACTTTCGCGGTGAAACGACAGACGTCATTAGACACCTTGAGATTTTTCACCAAGTGATTATTCCACTCTACGACTTGACAAATTAGTTTAGAGGTGGACCAGTCAATAGAAGTGAGATATTCCCACATTTATTCTGAATCTACAGCAATTGAAGGGTGCATACAGGTACATGGTTTATAGAAATGTCTATTTGAAGGATCTCTCGATTACATCTCATTAAAACAGATGTTATCAATGGAACTTTAGCTGTCTTGTGTGTGTGGATGTGTGTGTGTGTGTGACACCACTTTAACACGTCTTATGTGTGAGAAAAGTCACCACCTTAATACGTCTTGTGTGTGTGTCACCACTTTAACACGTCTTGTGTGTGCCACCCAGAGGCGTAGCGACCCCTCCCGGCGCCCGGGGCGAACTTTCAGTTAGGCGCCCACCATATATATATATATATATATATATATATATATATATATATATATATATATATATATATATATATATATATATAAATATATATATATACACGTGTGTGTGTATGTGTGTGCGACAGTCTGGAAAAAAATTAACATTTACGCTGATTGTCGTTCCCTAAAACTTCACTCGACGCCAATAAAATTCCCGCTAAGATGCATTATCTTTTAAATAATAATCATTAAAAAAGTTTTAAAAAAACCCACGTTTTCTGATTGAACTAAAAAGTAGAAAATAAATGCTATACATCACAATAATGCAAGCGATCACTCTACTATAAGCGATGAAAAACGTGGGGCGCCGAAGTAAAAGTTATATTACTATTGATTAGATAATACTATTGACTTTTATTAGGGAGCTTGTAGAGAGTCAACAGTATTAGAAACTGTAAGAAAATCACGGCGCCCCACGTTTTTCATCGCTTATAGTAGAGTGATCGCTTGCATTATTGTGATGTATAGCATTTATTTTCTACTTTTTAGTTCAATCAGAAAACGTGGGTTTTTTTAAACTTTTTTAATGATTATTATTTTCTACTTTTTAGTCTTTGTCTGTTTGTTTGCATTGAAATCTTTCTATCGATTTTATCTTTTCACTTTTTTTTTTGGGTAAACGAAGACAACTCGTAAAAAGACAGCTCATAAAAAACACGTTGTGTGAATACGTTACTGACTAGAACACATAGATTTGAACCCGTGTCGAGCTGGTTAGCAATCGTGTGCCCAACCACTCGACCATATCGTCTCCCCCGTACTGGCCACCAGTTGTGACAACTACTCAGTAAGCAAAAAGAGGGAGAGTACCGAACCTTCTTTTCATCAAATTACAGTTACTGGGTTATGTCCCTTTTTCCCCACGTTTTTTTGTACAATTATATAGGGGTATAAAATGATCAATAAAATGTTTCCATGGATCAATTTAGTAATAATAACAGTTGAATATTCTATTGTCATCCGAAACAAAGCTTCCCTGAAAATTTCAGCGCGCTAGCTAACTGGGAAGTGCACGAAATTTCGATCGCAAGATTTGATTGGAAAAACAAACAAACAAACAAACAAACAAACAGAGGCGAAAGCAAGTTAAAGAAAACGTGGGAAAATGATGATTAGTAATGTTAGAAAAGAATTAAAATTGTAGCGGTGCTAATTCGTTTAACACAGTCTTTTTATGATTCACGTTTGGATTTTGTCTGTGTGAACGATACAACTATTACGACGGGTTCGGTGTTTCCAAAAAGTTAAGAACCACTGCTTAAGAGTGTATTTTGTAGAAGGTGCAAGCTTATTTGGTCTACTTTTGGGCGTATCTTTAGAACAATTTCGATCATTGTAGGCCTATATTACAATTTTGAATTATCAGTTAAGTTGAACAAAGTAATAATTAGTACAATATACTAATTTTCTTCTCTCTTCAAATTTTGGCAAAGAGTGTCGCTTCCCACCCACTCGCTCCGACAGTCTGCTATTTTACTGATCAGATAGCGATACAAGAATCCGTGATATTTATTTCTCTTTAATGCAGTGATCCAGGCAAGATGTAATGCAATCAAGTAAAAGTATCTGATCTATCACGATCAAGTTGAGAGAATCGTAAGAATCGTACAAAGAACTAGTCGCATTATTACTTATCAAAACTGGGTATTGAAATCGTACATTAAGTGTTAATACAATTGATTTTTTTTCTAAGTGTTAAAAGAGTTATCTAGTAAGCGATCCAGTACAAATCCTTCGGCTTTTACTTTCTCGTATATACGTAGTATAGAGAAAGTATTGTAATCGTGCAAAAAAAAAAAATCAAGATTTTTACAAATCTCGACGTTTTAC